AGGAGGTGGAGGTGGTGGAGGTGGTGGAGGAAGTGGTTTTGGCAACTTTGGAATTGGCTCTGGTTATGGCTCTGGATATGGGTCTGGATATGGTTCAGGGTATGGTGCAGAAGGAGGAGGATATGGTAGTGGAGGGGGTGGTGGAGGTGGAGGTGGAGGCGGAGGTGGCTCTGGTTATGGATCTGGATCTGGTAATGGCTGGGGATATGGGTCTGGAAGCGGTTCAGGGTACGGATCTGGTGGAGGCTATGGTAAGGGAGGTGGTGGTGGAGGAGGAGGCGGTAGAGGAGGCGGAGGAGGTGGTGGCTCTGGATATGGGTCAGGTAGCGGCAGTGGTTCAGGTTATGGCTATGGTTCTGGAAGTGGCAGTGGTGAAGGAGGTGGAGGTGGAGGTGGAAGTGGCAGTGGTGAAGGAGGTGGAGGTGGAGGTGGAGGTGGCGGTGGCGGTGGCGGTGGAGGAGGTGGTGGTGGCGGCGGTGGTGATAATGGCATTGGTTCAGGTTATGGTAGTGGATCTGGATATGGTTCAGGGTATGGATCGGGATATGGCGGTGGTGGCTGGAACTACCCTTGGCCTTGAACACGGCCTCCCTGAATTCCTTATTCCAGCTTCTTTAGTGTATATGTTAGCACTCTCTCTCTCTCTCTCTCATGTTGCTTGTAGGGGTGAAACGTTGTGCATGTGTTTACGTGTCCAAAGACCAAAGTGTGAGGAGTCTCGGGAAGCAATATGATATTATATATGAATGAATAGAAATCAAATGTGTTTGCTCTCTTTATTTATTTATAATCTTTGCTGTTACAACTTACAACAATGCATGGGATGATGGATTGATGGGATGATGTTGTTGGGCCTGACTTGGCATGTGGCCCCTAGCCCATAGGCCTGTTTGTAGAGATTCTTCTATAGAGCAACATAGTTGGAGGCCCAAATGGCCCAAAAGTCAAAACATTTTATATATCTTAGCATAATGGACCCAAGTCCAACACGGGGATTCATACCATGTCTGTTTCTGTATCATGTGCAACTAGACCTGTTCAAGGACCGGGTGGCCCGGACGGGCTTGAACAGGTATATGGGCTTGCGGGCTTAACCTCGGGCCAAAAAGCCTAATCCGCAATAAATTCAAGTCAGGTTCGGGATCTGTTAAAATAGCCCGACTCGGCCCAAGTTGTAGACCCGTTGATCGGGCTGGTGTCGGGCTCGGGCCTAACATATTTCCATTAATGAAGAGTAAAAGCCCGGCCCATGAATAGGTCTATGTGCAACATGTATGGCAATTAAAAATGAGTATGTGTATATTATGGTGGTGCTTGGTAAGCTTTTCTAAGTCTAAGAATTAAAATTTGGTATTTTCCATTTAACAATGAAAAAGGAAAATCACAGAAATTTGATCGTTAGACAAGACCCAAAACCTTAGTACCCCTACTGGCCCAATTCATTTGCACATTTGGACCACATCTTGGATGGGGTTGGATCCACCATGCCCAATTCATTTACACATTCAGATCCTTAGGTTGTGATTGAAATTGAAACTCCTTAAGCTTATTTCTTGTCAAACCAAACATGTCCTTGGTAAAAGTGCACATTTGGTGCAAATGGCCTAGGTCGGGCTTTTGCTCTTCATTAACATAAATTTTTTAAGCCCAAGCCCGAGCCTAGCTTGACCAATGGGCCTAAAACTTGGGCCCGAGCCCAGCCCTCATAAAAGCCCAAAGCCCGACATGGGAGTCTGAGCACCGATGCCCTCTAAGATTGAGAGAATGGTGCCTACTGAGTTCGTCGATTCTTGGGAGTCTGAGAGTGAATAGAAACCGAGAAAGTGAGAAGATAGAAGATGACAACAGTGCAGGCCAAAGAGAGAGAGAGAGAAAGAGAGCTCACCGCTGGAGAGAGAGATGATCTAGATCTGGTGGCGCCAGCCACCGGTACCTGAGTTCGCATAATGAAACAGTGTGCCTGGGTTCTGGTGGCACCGACTGGAGAGAGAACTGAGAAGATAGAAGACCTAGTTCTAAGAAGAGAGAGAACTGAGAATGAGAAGAAAGAAGATGAAAACGGTGCCGACTGGAGAGAGAGAGAGAGAGATCACCGCCGAAGAGAGAGATGATAAGTTCTTGTGGTGTCGGCCGCTGGTGCCTGAGTTCGTAGGTGCAGTTGGGTTCGCCGGTTATGAGAATTGAGAGGGGGAAATGAAAGTCTCTTCTGAGAGTGAGAGTGAGAAAGGAGAATGAAAAGAAAAGTTTTAAGAATTTAGGGTTAAGGTTAGGCAATTTAGGAATTTAGGGTTCAACTTATATAAAAGTCGGGCCAGGTCAGGCTTAGGTCAAGCTTTTTTAACAAATCTGGAGTCCGGCTCGTAAAATAATTGGGCTTGGGCTTTTAGGCCCGAGGTCAAGCCCACGGGCTAAAATGCATGCTCAAGCCCGTCTAGGGGCCGGGCCGGCTCGTCGGGCTACCCAGCCCATGAACAGGTCTAGGTGCAACCCATTTCGTTCTACATTTATCATATACAAGCCAGATAGGTCTAGAGCAGGATGGTCTCTTATCTCATTTGAACCTATTCACTTTCGATGATCTAATGAGAGGCCACAGTGACTGATAGAGGAGTAATATTTTATCATATATCTTGTGTGTATGTAATATTTTATAAATAAATAATATAGGCCAAGCCTAGGCTATAATCCTTATCACAGGTACTAAGCCTAACCCATAATCATCTCTAGTAGAAAATGAAGAAAACAAAATCCGACACCTTTAATATGGATGCAATTCCGAGTTTGATTCTGCCCATCCAAAATGTAGGCCATAGAATTTCATCAAAATTAAATTATTCACTAGATCAAGTCTAAATAAAGGATGTGACTATGATATGGCAAAAATATGAAATCTGAAAAACAATTAATCCATAAAATGAAATCATAAACGTGGTACTAAATAAAGTGTTATTTATCAAAATTTATGGGTAGGTTTTGATTGGTTAAAACTCTTTCCATATATATTTCTCGCATTATAGATTTTGCCCCTAAATAAAATAACAAAAACAAATTCATAGGTGGGCCTAATTTGATGCCCATAATTTATCTTATGTTAAGGCCAGACTTCAAAATTCAGACTTGGGTGAGAATGGATTTGTTCTAACCGAAACAGATTGGACTGACATAGAACCGATTCCAATCAATTCTCTAAGTTGGTTTCAGTTCTAAATTCTTGAAACCAACCCCTAACCAAGGCCAATACCAACCTGTAAAACTGGCCTTGATTAGCTTTAATGGAATGTGTATTGTTTTGGTTGATCGTGGATAGTATCCTATTTTGCATTGAAAATGCATTTAACTAAATCGTGGAACACGTATGAAGTTGGATTATGGAAAAGTAATGGTTATGTGATATTATTTAGGCTGTTTACGGCTTTTGTTTTATTTTCTTTGAGATTGAATGACTATATGAATTTAAAATATGGAATGTTTATGATAGGTTGTTATCATGGTCAAAGCTTTGGAATGCGACAAAATAGAGAAAAAAAAACAGCATAGTATTATTATTGTTGTTTTAAAATATTGGTTTCATGGGGCCGACCTTGAAACCACCAAGGCTAGAACTGTTCTTAACAAATTAGACTCTAATTCCAAAAACGTAGAGTAGGTTCTAAATTCTGCCTTGGAATCTTACCAAACCAATCCATGCTCTCCCTTAACTCAAACCACTCATCAACTCACCCTTAACTCAAACCACTCATCGACAATTCGAATGCCAAATCTTATCAGAATCCATTAAAAAAAGGCTAAATTATAGGCTACCACCCTGTGATGACACTTTGCCCCTCAAACTTTTGCTTTGCAGCAATGACCCCTTGAATTTCTCAATATAAGTACTTCGCCCCTGTTCTAATGGGTTGATGGTGAGCATAAAATTATTTAATTGCAATAATGTTCTGGTTCATTCTAGCATATTCCCACAAATACTACTTTGGGGTGGGGTGGGGTATTAGTGTGGTGCGTATCTCCAAATATCAAAAAATTCAACTCAGTTTTCTACCCACATGACATCACATCCACACAGGGAATATCTTCTATGCTTGTATGTTATTATACATGGGAGATGTTCCTGATACATGTTTGTAGTGTTTAATTCTTGTGGGTAGGGATAGCAATTTTCCCCATTTCTCTGATTCTTACGAGGATCCATCCTGAATGGGGCAAGGATGGTGATGATTTTCCCCCCATGGGGACAGGGATGGGGAAATTTTCATCCCCGTTAGCGGGAACGGGGAGAGCATTCCCCGCCCCACGGGGACCTCGATTCTCGCTTCATGGGATCCCCACTAATATATATGTATTCATATGTTATATATGTAAATATGTAAACATACATGTATGTGTTAATATTTTTAAAAATATGTTTTAATATTTTTTAATATTATTATAAATGTTAATTATTTTTTAAATAAAATTAAAACAAAAACAAAATGGTTAGTGTTATAAAGAATCACAAGGAATGGGGATCCCTATGAGAATGGAGATGGAGATAACCTTGTCCCCGTTAACGGGGGCGGGAATGGAAAGACCCGCCCGTTGCCATTCCTACTTGTGGTAAAGATCGTAAGTACAAAAAATTGCCCATTTTAAGATTAGATGGACAGAGAAATCTGGATCAAATGATAACTGGAGAACAATTTGGAGAACTAAAGTCCCATTTAGATTGCAGTTGTTCATGTGGAAAGCGTGGCAGACAAAAGATGTGGCAGCATATTTTCATTTCCTTAAAGAATCTGAAAAAACATGCAACCTGTGCAACCATGAAGAAGAGACATGGCAGCATATTTTCTTTTCGATACCAATTTGCAAGAACCATATGGCTGAAGGAGTAAATAGGCATTAACCCTGAAGAGCTGGGAAATATGAGCTTGAATCAGTATGTAACTACCTGGATCAACACAAAACTGAAGAACTTACAACCCCACATAAAAAACAGTTGTACATCGAAAAATTTTTCATTTTATTCAGACTGATATGGGATGTAAGAAATGATAAAATCCATCGAAACTCGATCCCAGATCCTCACTTGGTGATGGAAAAAGCCAGGAGTTATCTAAACCAAACTGAAGAAGGCCCCCCTCCATCCACACCCACCGAGATATTACCAATCTCTCATATACAAATAATAAGAATATATGTGGATGGTTCATATGACCCAAGGACGGGAAATGCAGGCACAGGTTGTGCAATATTTGAAACTGACAACTCTCTATTGGCAGAAGACAGCAGAAGAATTAAAGCAACAAGCAGTGAGCAAGTCGAATCAATGGCCCCAGAAGATCGTGAACAGTCTAAATACAGAAGAGAAAGGAGAGGTTTGGGACATGATCCATCTGAAAGAGTAAAAACTCTACTTAGTTTTTTTGATAATATCTATCCAATAGGTAAGTAGAACCTTAAAACTCAGCATCTCAAGAGGAGAGCACTAGCTCCACTGCCCGTACATATTATATCTTGGAGTCAGGATCTCCTGCACTCAAAATGGTGTGGGCGGGGGTGCACTTCCAATCAGAAATGAACACGTCCGGTGTTCACATGTGC